CCCCCCCCCCGAAGAAATGCTACTTTCATGTCTCTTCCTGCTGAATTATTCTGATATTTTGGACACACATTCCACCTCTCTCCCCAGAGTATAATAAACCAAATAATTGCATCCTTTTCTTGAAACTCATTCTCATTTTACTTTTCTTTTTAGGTTCCCCTCCGGACTCTTTGCACCAAAGGTCCTCCTGAGGAAGGTTCTCCGTCCTCACTTCCCATTTCCCCTTATGAGAATGAGCCGTGGAAATACCTGGATTCAGAAGGTACCCCAGATGGGGGGAAGCAAGGAAGATGGGGCCAGAAGTAAGTAGCTGGAGAAGATCCCTGCCACCTCCATCACAAATAAACTCATCTGGCCTTTATTTTCAGAGTACCAGAACCGCTATGGTTCTCGCCCCATTTGGGCCGACTACCGCCGCAATCACAAGGGTGGTGTACCCCCACAGCGTACCCGAAAGACATGTATTGTAAGTTTTTAAGGTTTTCATCTTGATGGGATGTGAAGAGGAGGCCATGGGGAAGGCAGCATCGGTCCTTTTTGTGACTGTGTTTTGTATCTTTAACGACCGGTTTCTTCTCTACAGCGTAAAAATAAAGTTGCTGGAAATCCTTGTCCTATCTGCCGGGATCACAAGTTGCATGTTGACTTTAGGGTAAGCAGACTCTTTTATCTGTAGTTAGGATTTGGGTCCTCTCTGCAGTGCTAAAGAGATCATCAGAGGTGTCTCACACTCTTTCGTATCCCTATACCTACACAGTCCCAATGACTGCCAATATGAAAACATCCTCTTTCCGGGTTTAACCCTCTACTATGGATTTTAGTGCAAAGGGTTAGTTCATTCTCTTAAAATTTGTAGTCTAAATTCCAAGTATGGAAAACACATATTTGAGCTGGACTCAATGGTGCAGGCCTTTAATCCCAGCACTTAGCAGGCAGAGGCAAGGAGATTTATGAGTTTGAGAACAGTATGGACTACAAGGAGAAACCTGTCTTGAAAAACAAACAAAAAAAAGACACGCCTGGGCGGCGGCAGCGGTGGTGGTGGTGGTGGTGGTGGTGGTGGTGGTGGTGGTGGTGGTGGTGGTGGTGCACGCCTTTGATCCCAGCACTC